ACCTTCAAAATGACCTCTAATTTACTATCTTTAAATAACTTGAGAGAACTAGCAAAATAACCTCTAATTTACTATTTATAAATAACTTCACACAACTAGCAAAATGACCTCAAGTTTACTATCTTTTAACAAGTTCAATGAACCTACAAAATGACCTCGAATTTACTATCTATAAACAACTTCAAATAAATTCCAAAATGACCTCCAATTTACTATCTATAATCAACTTTACATAACCTACAAAATGACCTCCAATTTACTATCTTTAAATAACATCACATAACTTGCAAAATGACCTTCAATTTACTATCTATAAACAACTTAACATAACCTGCAAAATGACCTCCAATTTACTATCTATAATCAACTTTACATAACTTAGAAAATGACCTCTAATTTACTATCTATAAATAACTTCATATAACTAGTAAAATAACCTCTAATTTACTATCTATAAATAACTTCACATAATCTACAAAATAACCTCAAATTTACTATCTATAAACAACTTCAGACAACCTACAAAATGACTTCCAATTTACTATCTATATACAACTTAACATAACCTGTAAAATGACCTCCAATTTACTATCTATAAACCACCTCACATAACCTGCAAAATGACCTCCAATTTACTATCTATAAATAACTTCACATAACCTACAAAACGACCTCAAATTTATTATCTATAAACAACTTCAGACAACTTGCAAAATGACTTCCAATTTACTATCTATAAATAACTTCACATAACCTACAAAATGACCTTCAATTTACTATCTATAAACAACTTCACATAACTAGCAAAATGACCTCCAATTTACTATGTATAAAAAACTTCACACAACCTTCAATATGACCTTCAATTTACTATCCATAAACAACTTCACATAACTTGCAAAACGACTTCTAATTTACTATCTATAAATAACTTCATATAATCTACAACATGACCTCTAATTTACTATCTATAAACAACTTCACATAACTTGCAAAATAACCTCCAATTTACTATCTTTAAACAACTTCATATAACTTGCAAAATGACCTCCAATTTACTTTCTAAAGACAACTTTACATAACATTCAAAATGACCTCCAATTTACTATCTATAAACAACTTCACATAACCTGCAAAATGACCTCTAATTTACTTTTTGTAAACTATTTCACACAACCTACAAAATGACCTCCAATATACTATCTGTAAACAAATTTACATAACCTGCAAAACGACCTCCAGTTTGTGTGCAACTTTTCTGCGCACAAATGCAGTGATGAATACTTCCTGACTGAGAGAGTCTACCCCACCATGCTCGCCGACGGTAAGTCGAGGAGTCGCATTAACATGCCTACGCCGAGAGTTGTGTGAGTAGCGGCGTGACAGACCTGGCTGCCAATTTTGAAGCTCTGATGTGTGAGGTCCGATGAGGACTGATTGCGACGCAATTGCTTCTACTCCAGGATTACCAACTACTCAAAGGGCATAATAACAGCTAAAACCCCCCCCCCTCCCCACATACCTGCACTGCGTCCTTTGGAAGACATTGTGCTATGTGGCTCTCCGCTGCTCGATTCTTCTATGCGGGCTGTACCTAGGAAAGATTAATTGAGAACTGGACATTACTGAAAGGCCTTACTAGGGATCTCAAGTCGCCGTTCTGCTGTGATTTTCATCGTCACCATTAGCCATTGTTGAGTTGAGTGGCAGATGATTCTTGACTTCAAAATATCTTCTCTTGCAGGAAAGGTTAAGCTTTCCAGAAGCCAGCTTGTGGAGCTTGTGAAAATGAACGGAGAGAGGCATGTCGGAGTAGCGCTGGATTACTCACCAAGAGGCAGGTATGCTCTGCACTGGGCTGTGGAGAACATCCTGCGGGCAATCGATCATTTCATTGTTGTGGTTGTGAACAAGGATGGACTCGAAGCTGGTCGAGCAGCTCTATGGGAAGCTTCTGGCACTTGTAAGAATCCTCTTGCCCTTTTCTTCCAGAAACCCTACATTGTGGTGGAGAATTCCTAAAAATTTAGCTCTCTACCTGGTTTTGAAAAGGTCTCTGAAGTACTTGATTCGGATTCGATTCTCGGGACAACCTTGGATGAAACTCCCTGACGTCTCCATTAACATAATTCTATTTGATTTCACCAATTTTTCTGGGATAGTCTCAGGTTCAAATTTCCACATCAAATGATGATCTGTGGCGAATCTATGTAAAAATTCACATTTAGAGTTCCGCAACCTTCAAGTCTGCCATAGAGCCACGATTAGCTGGTTGAAATGTAGCCATTACGCTCAAGTCTAGCTGTTGGTAGCTTGCAGCAAAAAGTGAGCCTCACTCAAAGCGGTGCATCTTTATGTTTTATCAACTGTACTAGTTTGTCCCTTGAGATGAATCAGGTAATTTGTTCATATTTCATTTTTGCTTTTGCAGCTTTCATCCCATTAGCCGCTGCAGAGAACCCACACAATCAACATGCATACCACCTGAAGATTGACGAGGAAGTAACAAAGACGCTACATGAAGCGGAAGCAAAGAAGGTGACCACTGTCCGCCCAACCCTCACTCCTACCAAATCTAACATCGTTTCTCACAGCATGTCTGGTTTATCACTGGAAAGCTAACAGACTAGGGTCACGCCTTGCAGATCGTCGTGGTCTTTAAGCTATACTGGGGAGACCAGAAGGAGATGATTTGCAATGCTGATGCCCCGCTCGATCACCTCATTATGGGATGCCGAGGCCACAGCAAGCTCAAAAGATATTACAATCGCCCTCTTGCCTCCAATGATGTCCCATCACTTCGTGGTCTGTTTTTCCTCCTAGAAAAAGGTGGTTTGTCACGCCAACTTCATTTCTAGAGCAACAATTGCGTGGGGTTCCACATCCAATCCTGATGTCGTGGGTCATGTTCTGGAAGTATCTCTCTCTCTCCCTCCCTCTTGCTGTCTCTGTCTCTAGAAGGTGAAAAATCCGCAACAACAACATCAACGTTCTTTTCGCTGTCGAAATTGTTCATGCCAATTCTGAGCTGTGTCACGGTTTCCTTTGGCAGGAGCATCATGGGGAGTGTCAGCAACTACGTCTCGAATAACGTGCCCTGTCCTGATCATTGTTAAACTGCCACCTTGCTAAGGAAAAGCGGTTCTAGGTTCTGCATTTTTTCATGTTCATTTTTATGTTCACTCTTTCTTTGTTTGAGGTAGAGAACTTATTTTCAGTAACTTAAGCATTTCAGCATATATCCATAGGGTGTAAAAATTGAAAAAAAAAAAAAAAAAAAAAAAAAAAATCCCCATGTAGTAAAATAGAAATGAGGGGGATTCCAAGTGTTTTCACACAATTTGGCCCAAAAATGTATTTTATATAAATGTTTTAGCTAAACATTCTCTTTGACCCATTTTGGACATATAAGCCTACGTAATTCCAACTGGTGGTGGTTACAAAACTGCAAATCTAACTTTTACAAAACCATAATGTGTGGCACCTATTAATGCTATTGAGAGAAGTGTGGCACCTAATTATATTATTTTTCCACCCAAATCAATCAACAACTTCTACTTATTGATACTTCATGCTAGTCCATTATAAGTACAATGAATTTTATTTATTGCTTATAATTTAACATTGTTTTACCAATCCATGACTTATTTCTAATCAATAGAAATAGAATTTTTTTGTTTGATGTTAGTTCTAGTAGCCAAACTAATAGACATATTACACCTATATGTTGGAAATGAAAAGACAAATTGACAATGGATTACCTATCTTAATTATGCAATATCTACTTTTTTTTTCTTTTTTTATGTATAGTCTTATACATGTATATATACATACACATATATCTTATGATATACTTGAAAACTAAGCTTATATTAATATTGACATTATATAAAGATAATAGTATCATCATTATTGACAAGTTTGATGGTGAGAATTTCTATTGTTGAAAATTCAAGATAAAATATATTTTGGTTTAAATAATAATTTGTGAACAAAATTATTGTGGGGATAAAAGATTGTATGAAAAAAACTAAGATAAAAATAAAAGTAAAATATTTTCTATGCAACTAGACTGAATGAACAATTGCTTCTCATAAACAATATAGTGTTAAAACATATTAAAAGTACATTCATACATGTTTCTATGCATCATGAAATCCCTCATAAAAACAAGTTGGGCAACAACCTCTCAAAAGCACAAATTCTATCAAATGTTCACTTAGATAGTTGTCAATATGTAAATTGGCTTCATTAATACATTATTATAGTACTCTAATTATGTTGGAGTTTTGATATCTAATTCTTAATAGTTTAAATGTTCAAAATGTTTAAATATTTCAAAACATGATAAGTAGAATGTCTTGATAATGTAATGACTTAAATGTTTTTGATGAAGATTGTATATACAATTCTACTTTGTTTCATGAAGACTACATTTAGAGATAAAATAAGATGTTTTATATCCTTCACTAATGCTTTTCAATATTCAATTTTCAATCATTTTGGAATGAGTCTATTTATTTTTTAATATATATATATATATATATACAAGAATGTTAAATAGATCCAAAATTGATCCACCCATTCTAACCATCATGAAAAAAAAAATAATAATTTCTTGATGCATTTCTCCATTACTAGATTTGCAACTAATAAAAATTAACCACATTCATCATTATCATATTCTTCATGAGGCTGCAGTATATTTTGTAAAAGCATGAGTCTATTTAAAAAAAGATGGAGGAAATCAAAGAGATCTGTGAAGCCCCGATTCATCCTCATTCATCTAGTGCATGCAAGCTCTTCTTCCAGCTGCTCAAGTTGTGTCCACTTCGTATCAGTGAGATAGTGGACACATTTATCTGCTTCAGCTTCAGCCATGGCCGCCTGCCAAGTATTTGTATGAATCTTCTCGTTTCTGATTCGTTAGGAGCCCCGGTCTGTAATCACTTGCGGCACTGGGTTACATGATTCGGTATTGATAAGGAATGTGAGGGTGGCGTTATTGATTGATTTGGGGACACCCAAATTTCTTCCTTTTACGATTTTGCTGATGTCGAGTTTGAGTGGCGGCTTTGCAGAGCAATGTGGTGTCGCAAGTCTCTTCACTAAGGACCAGTGTGGAAACGAGTGCGAGCTCTGTGAGCTCTGTGGTTATACGTGGCAGTAGACATGCGACCTTAGGATTGTCACACAGTGGCTTCGTAGCCACCTTCCAGCAATCGTGCACAGATTCGGCGTCAAATATGTGCAGGAAGCAGGTCAACGTCAGGGCGGCACAGGTGGTCAGTTGCCGTTCTCGTCTTCTGATGGAACTTTTCGTGGTGTCTATGTCAAAGCATTGTGCATAGTAGTGTCTGGTAGACCTAGTAGCACTGGTAATGGTTTTAATATTATTATTGTTATTATTATTTTTATTTCCTACATTCTTCCACAGTAAGATTTAAACTGCTATGGTGTCTGGACATGGCAGCCCTCAGAAGTGACGACTAAGGTGACTAAGAAATGCTTCTTCGACATCGAAATTGACGACAAGCCGTGTGGTCGCATCATTATTGGGCTCTTCGGTGACACAGTCCCTGATACCGTCGAAAACTTCCGTTGTCTTTGCACGGGTCAGGGATATCCTCTCCTTTTTTCTACTTCATCCCACCTGTATTGCTACATTTTTGGCGTATTCAGCATCGTTTCCAGTTTCATCGTTCGCTGCATTTGTCGGTTGATGCAAGTAACAATTTGTCGAGCATGCGTTTCGAAAGTCTGCTCGTCTTGCAGTTCCAAAAGTGAATGCGAATTACGACGATTCACTGTATGTTCCACCCTGTTCTGATGATGGTAAGCGTGTGGGTTGAAGAGTTTCCTTGAATGAGAGGGATGAGCAATTGCGTGTTATGACCCTGACATTGCGCAATCAGTTGGTACGCTCTGAAATTAATCCACCTGGGAAATAATCCTACGTGATACTGCTATTAAATATCTGAAGGTCGACTATTGCTTATGAGTTGGATAGGTGAGAGGCGTTTTGGTTACAAGGGATCGGCGTTCCACCGTGTAATCAATGACTTTATGATCCAGGGTGGTGATTTTGACCAACGCAATGTGCGTTTCTATCCTTCGTTGATCATGTGTGTTTAAATTTTTTAATGTAGATCTTTACCTCATGAGCAGTAGCATTACTTCAAATTACAAGTTTTTCCATAAGTCTAACCGTTTTTAAGATGCTAATTGCAGGGCACTGGTGGATATAGTATTTACGGCAATACCTTTAAGGATGAGAACTTCAATTGTAAGTAGTGTTACAACCTACTGATTTTTTCCCCATATTTGCCAGTGTGCATTATTCTATTGATGGCTGACATGAGATACGGTATTGATGCTAAGTGAGGCATACTGGAGAGGGAGTTTTGAGCATGGCAAATCGTGGGCCTAATACTAATGGAAGCCAGTTTTTCATCTGTACTGTAGAGGTATGCCAAGGGTCCATTGCTTCTGTTTCCCACCTTGCAATTGTACAATTTTGTTTACAGTGCCTTTAAAGGTGTGGGAAAAGTTGTAGTAAATTATAATAGAGAATTGGCAACATTAATAGTTGCTTTTGAATATTGTAGCATTTCATGAGTGAAATTTGAAGTCAAGGTTCTTGATTTAAAGAATTGGTTTAAGAGGTACAAGTTAAGTTATAGTGACAACTTCTAAGTTTCTAAAAGCTTATCCGTCAAGGCCAAAACTTATGCAAATTGATACCATACGTTTCAAATCTCTTAATAAGCAAGAAAAGATTTGACATTATTAAAAAAAATTATGCTTATGTTGTGGAAAACTTAAGAAAAATATACTTTATAGTATACTTTATAGTATACAAAAAAACAACGTAATCACAGAACAAAGAGTATGGTTGTCAAAGAAGTTGATTTGTCAAAAAATAAGTTTCTCCACTTATAATAGAGACCATACAATTAGAATCTTGTACAATACTTAGTATTATTCTCTTATTAATAAAAGTACTATTTTCTTATTAAGTTTAGTAATAGTTCAATTATCTTAAAATTATTGTGACTAAAAAAAAAATAATCTCCACATAGTTTAGATTTTTTGTAATTTTGATTTTTGTATAGTATAAAGTAAAATTTATTTGTTCAATTAAAAATTTTAATTAACTAAAACTTTATTGATAGATACAAGAGCTTTTATACATGTTACAAAAAAAGAATTGTTTTTTATTAAATATGCTACACTTATTTTTGATGATAGAAAGACTAGAAGCGCCATTCCAAATCAATACTAAGATTAATAAGATATTTTTTTAGAAGAATATAAATATTTTTTAGTGCATTATTTGTATAATTTTTTAATTAATCTTCAAAAAAAAACTCAATTTATGATTTACCTACATCCAAAGTTATTATTGATTTCTTGAAATTCAACAATTTTTAGCCTTGATGTCAATTCTCATTTCATGTACTCTTACTAATAGTTGTAAAAAATCCATATTACGATAATACCTCCACTTAGCTTACTTCTTGAATTGTTGCTGCTCTTTAAGTCATAACATTAGAATCAAGATGTAGAACTTCTACTTAAACTCAAATGATTGCTTTAGTTGTAAATTATGTGATATAACTTCCTAGCAAAACTTTGAGCTCTTCTTGTGACTTTTTATTAGGCTCTCTACTATCTTTTTGTTCTCCAATATTAATTCCAACTCAACAAGTTTTTTTGATACAAATAACCTAAATAGATACTTAAATAACAATTGATCAACTACAAATTGAAGCAAGTCTTGCAACTATAAATCTAAAAAGAAAAACTTGCCTCTAACTACAATTTTAATAACAATTGGTTTTTATTTCTATTTCTTTTCACTATAGTTAGAAGATTGTCATAATTTGAGAGCATGGCTTGAAATTTAGAAGCCAAAAACTTTTACAATACATGTATAATAGAATACAAAAGCTACAATTTTTATCCAATTTCCTTGATCTTGAAATTTATGCACATGCCAGCTTCATAAAAACTACAAAGATTATTGAGCTTAATTCTTCTAACAATTGCTTTTGAGAGATTCTTAAGTAATATATTATCAAGAACATGAACTGAAAGAAGAAGCATATATTTGAAAAATTTGTGTTAAAAAAAAAGTGACAAAATAGCAATAAAGTAGTATCTATATTAAAAAGAAATTAGAATGGCTATTGTCAAAAGACAAGGAAACTAGAGACTCTTAAATCTAGACTAAAAGCAAGAAAAGAGTTGACAAGAGTGAAGAGGGCTTCACTCTTGCCTCTATATATATTATCTAATTAAAAGCTACGTGGCAATGTTTTATAGAACTTCTAATATGTGTTGACTTTGTAAGACACATGCCTTAGCTTATAAGGCAAGTTTTCTATGTGTGGACTATATAGTTATATTATTCTTCAAGCTACCAACATGTGTGGCACATGGCCAACTTTTTGACCAATTTAATCTAATCTAATCTAAAAAGTCAATTAAAGACACCTATAAAGTCAAAATAGCATCTATGAAGCTTCTATAGAAGATATTATAGAATTAATCTACTTTTATCTACTTTTATCTAAATCATATACATAATTATTAATTTATATGTCTGTATCCATGATATTATCCTCCATTCTAAGGACGAGTTCTATGGGAAGCAATCTTCATATGTTGAGTAAATCCAAGATGCAACGAATTATATTTGCCACATACTCTGATCTCTATTCTCTTCAAAAATAGTTGATAGGCTCCTTTAACCATCAATAGTATTCCATATCAAGGTGAGAAGAAAATCCTATTATTTGGTCATTATTGAGGCCTTTGTAACTTCTTTCAAATAAAATATTTGGAATACCATCAGGAGTTGTTCTTACCTCTAATAAAACCACCAAACATTGGGAGTCTCTTCCAAGGTCATGATACCAAACATGTTATATCTCATCGTCTATTTGAGGAAAGACATGTTATTCTTCAGGATCTTCATCTTGATTTTGTCATCTTAAAGGTTGTAACAATTGTAATGTTTCATCCGATAAGTCCGCAAATAAAAGCTCTTGAATTGAATCTGCTGGTTGTTGATTCTCTATCTCCTTAGTATCACAAATATAAAAAAGTTACAAAGAAAGATAGATGTTAGAATGCAATCTTCTCTGGACCTTGTTTCTTTTATAGCAAAAGACTTATTATTCTTCATCTTTATTTAAATGGATGTCGTCGATGAAAAGCTCCATTTGTAAGATTCATTATTGGCTCTTATGTGCATTCACTAATATCATATCCATGCTAATGGATAAGATATTTTAATTTATTTTGGCACCGCCTTGAATTTAGAACTTCTTCCATTTCAAATTCTTCATTATTTTTCACTTCTATAGGAAGAAGTGGAGTTTGTCTTCTTCTTAGTATGTTCGTAGTCTTGTATGGTTCAAAAAGAGATATGTAGAAGATAAGATGGATCTTCATTACCTTCGATTATTAGAGACCATATATAAGACAAGGATTCAAGATCAAGGAATGGAGTTAACTCAACATTAAAACAATAACTAGATACAAGACAAGAAGGTCCTCACTAAACCACAAGAAGTGAGTTGTCGAGATTGAGAATCTTCTCAGTCTCGATTCTTATATATACTAGGTCCTAAGAAGCTTCTTGAGAAGATTTTATGAAGCTTGAGAATGAAGCAAGCCTAAGATCGTTCTTTAGTAACTTCCTAAATCATCTAAAGCCTCCTAAAATCTTTTAAGACCTCCTATGATATTTTAAAACTTTCTTAGATTCTATTGGAACCTTTCAAAACCTTCTAGAAATTCTTACAACCATCAAAAACCTTTTTAGAATCTATTAGTATCTTTTAGAATCTTTTAGAATCTTCTAGAACCATCAAGAACTTTCTGGAATTTTTTGGAACCTTCTTCAGTTGTATGTCTGTGATACCAATAGATGTAATCAATAAGCAATTGGATTGATTTGTCCACAAATAAGAAAAGATCTAAGCCTGCAGTAGTCCAATTTATCACAAGGACGAGTAGTCTTGATATTATGATGAAGCAACCATACTTTGTCACTTACATTGAATTGTAGTTGTTTCTTTTGATAGGCATCCACGTTGATCTTTTGTCATTCTTCAACTTCCTTTAATTACACCTTCATTGTTATATGAAGCTCTAACAAATGATTTGTCAAACCTTCTGCCATATGATTAACAACTTTTGAAAATTCATGTCATGGATGGTAATCATAATTAATAAAGAAAGGTGTTTGTTGTGGAAAAGAATGCATCGTATTATTATAAGCAAACTCTACCAATGGCAAGAGGGTTCTCCAATTGTCTTATTAATAATTGATGGTACACCTTAAGTATTGCTCTAAAACTTGGTTTATGACCTCTGTCTCTCTATTAGTTTGACAATGAAAGATAAAAGAAAGCTTTATGTCCATCTTTAAAATCTTAAAAAGAATTCTCTAAAATCATGATATAAATTGAGTATCTGATATAATATCTTCCAACAATCCATGATATTGATAGATATTATTAAAAAAAAGCTTGGTAGTTTCTTCACTTGTGATAGATTTTGTGCACAGTATAAAATGTGTCATTTGAGTAAAATAATATACTATCACAAATGTACAATCATATGATCCTAAAACTAGAAGATTCGAAATAAAATCCATGAATATAGAGGACCATGGTTGTTTTGGAATAGGTAATGGTTGACAAAGACATGCTCCAACGAGCTTAATGATGATTCAAAATACAAGCTGACATGAAATACTCGAGGTTCTTTTAATCTGTATATATGGTGACTGGACTGGAAGTGCTTTCCAAATAATGATGTCATTCTTGAAAAAAATCCATAATTGCAAGAAACTCTTTATCAAAGATCTCATAGTTAATCTTGGTTGCTGAAAATTTCTTAGAATGAAAAGTTATTAAGAGAAATTTATCATCTATTCCCATTTGTAATAATACAGCATCCAAAGCAAAGTCCGATGTGTTTATTTCCATAAAGAATGCCTTAGAAAAGTCAACCCGATAAAAGATTGGTGCAGAAAAAAAAAGTCGGCTTTAAAGCTTCAAATACTGCTTCTGCTTCATGATTCCATTGAAGTTTGTCTTTACAAGTCAAATATTGTCGTATTATATGGTGTTTGACTTAAGAATGCACTAGGCACCTAGCTGTAGAAGATAAAAAAAAAATTGCAACAACAAGTCCAAACAACTCTAATAGATTCTTAAAAAAATTATAATTAAATATTAAAAAATACAATCAAACATTGACTAAATTCAATTAAAATTTCAAAAGAATCATATAAGAAATACAATATATTCCTAAAGACCTTTTAAATAATCATAAAGAAATAATATAAAAATTCAAAAATATACTAAAATAGAAATCTTAATAAAATATTAAAATAGAAATCTTAATTAAATCCTATTCAAAATCTAATCAAATTTTAGTCAAATTCTAGTCAAATCCTAGTCAAATCCTAATAAATCCTAACCAAATCCTAATCAAATCCTAAATGAATCTTAATCAAATCTTAAACAAATCTTAATCAAATCCTAGTCAAATCCTAAATAAATACTAATGAAATCCTAAATAAATCTTAAAGAAAACTTAATTAATTCTAACCAAATTCTAAACATATTCTAATCAAATCTTAAATAATTCCAAATAATTCCTACAACACATTTAAACTTCAATAATTAATAACTAAATTGTTGATTTTAACTCAAAAATTTTATGCTTTTTAAAAATTAAGTTGAAGAAAATTGAACTCACCAAAAAGAAGATCTACTCTAATATTTGCTTGGATGTTGGCCGGCCTCCTTCTCCAATCTAAATATTGAATTTTTAATGCCAATATCTCCTTATTGAACCATTTAATTGATCTCAAATTTTTCAAAAATGTAGTAAAATAAGTCTACTACCCACGCATATAATATTTACTCCAATTCAACTAATATATTAGAAAAAATCTTAGAAATCTTAGAAATCCTCACTAGATCTAAGACTACTTCT